ACTGCTGAGGCGGTTTCATATCACGCCCTAAATTTCTCTCAGAGCACTCCACTCTCCTCGACAGCCACCCAGGGCTCAGCTGTGGAGCTCCTCACAGAACAATGGCTGCTGTGTGGGACTCAGAGGGGGAAGAGGGGGAGAGAGTGAGAGAGAGGGCTGCTGGGTATAGAGAGAGACTGGTACTGATTACGAGAGAGAGTCAAAGAGAGGAGAAGTGAGAGGGAGCAGCAGTCCAGGAGTTGGCCTCCATCCAGTTCTGCTGAGAGGGTGGAGACAACGCTACGCCCTTTTATTGGGTCACACAGTTCGGCTGCAGGCTGATGGAGGCGCAAATATTAAGGTTGGGAAACACCGTCCTGCAGTCAACTATCACTGCACACACAGATAAAGGAGTACGAGTCCAGTTTAGGTGCGTTGCTGTGGCTACATGCCAACTCATTATCTGGATTTTAGGACTCATTCCTGCACAACTCTGTACACTAAGTCTCTGTCCTTTCAGCTGTACTGAATAATAATAATAATAAAGGGGGAAAGCAACCAATTAAAAATGTGTTTGTATTCCTTACAAGCATTGGTGTTTTTCTTGAAGTGACAATAAAAAGGTTTGGATATGCTCACGTCAAAACAACGATCCAACTTGAATCAAACTTGGTTCAGGTAAAGAGGGGATTGAGGAGCTCCCATAGGGAATAAGGAGAGGACAGAGGAAGCAAACACATAACAGACAAACACACAGAAACTGCACCAAACTGGGCTGAGGTGAGGAAGAGGGATTTCAGGAGCCCGATAACCAGCCAATAGGAGAAGAGAGAAGAGGAAATGAAAGGGAGGATCAGCGAGCGAAAAAAGGGACGAGCAGGGCCGTAACGCGATTATAGAGACAGCCCCCCCAACAACAAGAAAAACACTGAAAAGAAAATGAAGTGTGAAAGAAGTGAGGGAGCGGATGAGGCAGAGAGAAAGAGAGTGGGTGGGAAAGGCCTTCAGTTGCCATGGAAACTGGGAGCTATCAGCTGACTCCATGTTTTTTCCACTCGTTCCCCACCCTCCACCACCAACTCCCCTCCCAGTCCGTTCATCTTTCCATCACTTCACCCCCCACCTCTTCATGTTCTCTCCACATCTCATGACCACACCCCCATCTATCAAATCGAAGAAGTGGTAGTAACGACACCGGGGTGACTCAATTGCTAACATTGACTTTCCGACGGCCAGTTTGCATTCGTAAGTCCGTAAGTAACGGTTGAGAGACTCTCTCAAAATGTGATCTGCCTAGGAAAGATCGGTAATTGGGACGACATCGACCAGTCATCGATACCGAATCACGATGACTGGTAACGACGTCTAATCACGTGTTAAAGATGTCGAAGCTGGAAAAATAACATGTCTAGTCATAACAATCAACGTTAGTATATGTCAGGAGATACAAATAGGATGTTGGTAAAGTACAAGCTATGTTCCACCTGTACCTCTTAATGTAATTCATGTATTTGTTCTTCCCGCTTGGCTACCGTTTGGTTACGAGCCCCAGAAGAAGCGCGAAACCACATAACCACACCGCCTTCAAATGAGGCGCGAATGTCCGGGCCGTATACATGTGTCGCAAGGTCACTCAGAGCACACTTGCCTGTGCAATTTACTCGGTTTACGCACACTTGGTACAGCACTTGCCTTCTGAAAAAACTTTTGCTTAAGCCACGCGTTTGCAAGGCACATTTACCACCAGAGTCCCGTTCACTTTTCCACTCGTATATGAATGGTGGTCCAAAGGACGGGTAACACCCCCTTTACCTCTGTTGTGCCTCTTTCTCAGAAAACAACTATAAATTTAGTTCTAACACCAACAATAGCCACTAATCTCTTCCCCTAAACAAAACACCAGTTTTGTTAACTGATTTCTATACAAACCCCATCTGTGTTGCTGTCGAGGTTGAAAGAGGTAGTTCGTGAGATATAGACATAAAGGAAAAGCATCCACTGAAATGTAAAAGTAAAATCGACTACGTTTTCTGTCAGTATGCAAACATAGACAGTGTACTCAAAGTTAATATACTGCTTCTTATACTAAATAACGAAAATATATAGCATCGTTGTACCTGATGAAGATCGTAAACATTGTACAGACAGGTTTCTTTCCTTTGTTGCAGTAGTAGACGTTTCTTTACTTTGGGATTACAACCCACGGTAGCTATTTCCGGTCTCTATTTGTGGACCATCATTATTATTATTATTATTATTTTTATTATTATTATTATTATTATTCTTCGTCCAACAAACCAAAGTTCCTACCTCGTACAAAACGTTGAGAGGGAGAACGATTTAGTATGCATCGGAAGTCGATTTCTCGACATTTGTAATAGGCACAACAAGTCGATGTACCCCCTTTCGATGACATTCTAACAACTCACAGGAAAATCGATTACGTGAGACCAATCCGTCACTACGATATACAGTCCCAAATAACACTTTCCTTTAACGCTGGATCTACTCTATTAACAGTAGACGTTTGTTAGCTAAATATCCTTAGGTTACTATGTTATTATGAGTACTGCATTTTTACAAGAGACGTCGATCGAATTACACCAAGTGTCGTTACACACTTCGTGACTTATAAGTAACCCTAGAAGTTACTTCGTCACGAAAGACAAAGAGATCCAATTACTCGACGACCTATAGGAATAAAATTAGTGAAGAACAGGACGAATAGTCTTTCAGAAAAAGGTAATAAGTAAAGAAGAGGGGCAGACAGAGAGTCTAGTGTCTCGAACGTCTTCAGGTCGCATCCTAAAGAGAGAAAAAAAGAGGAGAGAGAGCGGGAAAAGAAACCCACAAAACATTCACTACCACCAAATTAGACTCGTTGGCACTTTTTACTCGTCTCCCCTTCACTTTTACCTCTTTACCTCCTTATGATCTCCCTCCCACCCCACCTTTTACCTCGCCTCTTTATCTTCCCACTCCCCTTTCTTATGTTCCACACCAACCTACACTCCTCACTCTCCCTCCCCTCTTT